CTGAGGGGGGTGAAAAGTTGACTCAATGGGTTTTTGGGTAGGGGAGTTTGAGGGGTGCAAAGGTGGGTGTGTCAGTGTATTAAAGAGTGTGTGCGTGTGTGTGTCAGTGTGTGTTTTTCTGCATGCCAGTGTGTGCGAGGCATCTGGTGTCATATAAACAAGGAATGATGAGAAGAAGTCAACAAATAAGGTCAAGAACCCTCAGAAAGTGCATAAAGCCAGAAATAGATGTAGACAGTCGCTGAATTAGGGTTGTGGTTTTCTTGGCCCTCGGTCATCAGTTCAGTGAAACACTGTCATGTCATCCAGTTAAATGTGTGACGACCGATTGTTACACTGTGTGCAAAAAGGCTGGCGCTACCAAGCCTCGTCATTTTCTGTGCATATATCAAATGCATTTAATCTTCTTAAACCTCATTCCGTCCATCCATCCATCATATTACACTTATATGAGATTGGATCATCATTTTGACGCCCCAAAATAAAATCCTTTGCAACTTCTTCCTATAAGACGTCATCTAATCAGAAAAAAAAAAGTCTAACGCCCTGAACTGTCTTGTTTCTGAAAATGTGCTATATAGATACAATTACCGTATCATAAGCAGCTGGGTGTGATTTAATCAAATATAGCTGCTCTATGAAGGCCCCAGATTAGTTAGTAGCACTGTTGCCTTCTAGCAAGAAGGTCCTGGGTTCGGGTCCCAGCCTGGGGTCTAAATGTGTGGAGTTTGCATGTTCTTCCTGCGCATCTGGCTTCTCCCCACAGTCCAAAAACATGACTCTTGGGTTAACTTGTCTCTCTAAATTCTCCTTGGAAGTGAATGTGTGTGGTTGTTTGCCCTGTTTGTCTCTGACTGGTGACCTCATGCCCGTTAAATTACTTACCAATCTGTGGCAACACTTGAAGACCGATTCTCAGAAATGCTTCCCTCTGATGTGGCTGAAGTTTTCCATCTTGAGCTGTACAAATCTGGCGGACTCATACCCTAAACACTTAATTTGAGAGAACCAAGAATACAAACACGATATGACACACTTTTTCAGATTTTTTCATTAAGCAACCCTCCCACTTCGCATTATGGACTATTTTGTGCTTGTGCGTCTCAAAACATGAGACGCTGATCAAAGTTTGTTGTTGCAACACGAAATAAAATCTAAGCTCTTCAAGTGTCGTGAATATTTTTGCAATTTGATACTGTTAGATTTTCAAAGATGTGCTCAACTTGAGTTAGAGTAAAGCACCTCATAACTTCTCTGTAAGATTTTTAAACCGTGAGGACGTCCACAACATTGATGATCTATTAGAAGTGAAATCTCAGTGTGATGTGTGAGAGGCACAGATGGGCCCTTTCACATTTTCGCTCCGAACTGAGATCTACCGCGGCTCCGAGGTGGAAGGTCCGAGCTCTGACAGATAAATTGTAATCACTCTCTGCCAACAACAATACTGATCGTCCTCTGAGCGCATAACTCAACTCCAGTAATGCTGGAGACAAGCTGGAGCTGAGAACTAGTTTCAAGCCAGGTCCTGTTCACAAGGGAGGAAACTGGAGCAAGCGATGGAGGAATGATCAGTAAAAGCTGAGAGAATGAGGGAGAGATTAGTATTCGATGGGAGGATTCAGGGCTGTGGGGCCAATATGAATTTCCTCTCCACACAGCCGCTCCACATTAAGATGAATTATGTTTGCAAAGAACACAGTGTGGGTGGGATCAAACCAACCCACGTAAGCCAAAAAAACGCTGCCTCCTTCTGTGGCATTTTTCTCCTCATTGTTATTGTTTGCTTAGTGGAAACAGCGACAGTGATTTAACAAGTGCTTCACTGGAGTGAAACGCTCTGCGATGCTGGAAGAAAGTAGAAAAGAATTACTTTAAAATGAGTACAGGAAGATACTTTTTAGGAGAGTCAGATTTATGGTGCATCGGTGATCTGATTGTTTCTGCTGCTGCTTCAAAAGCGGAGCTGGCTGATCAGACACAGCGACACCTAGGGAATATTAATGAGATTTGACACAAAACATAGTTCATACATATATAAAACTCTGACTTTTTTCCTTCAGGGTTACACTCAAAACATTCAGACACAACAAATGACACTGAGTGAAACTGTTAGGAGGTCAAGACATCAGAAATGTAAAAAAAAATGTTGAATAATAGAGCTAAAAAATGTTTTATTTATTTTGATTAAAATATCAATGAAATTATTATTTAATTCAATTTAGTGTAGAAATCTGCATACATACAGCACAGTGCTGTGTGATGTTTACATCTGAAATCTGTTAATGGATAAATAAACATAAAACTGAGGTAAGAAGTTACATGTAAAGGAATAATAATATAAGTCAGACTGCTCTTCAATGAGCAGTGACCCTGGAAAAAAAAGAAAAAAGATCAGTGCTTTTAAGAGATTAAATATGTTTGTGACCATTTTTACGTTATAGGAACTATATTTATATTAAATTACAGCCATCAAACATTTTGCATTGCTTTTTAATAGGGATGTTTTGATAGCATGTTTATTGAAGGCTGTGAAATTCACCAACTTCACTCAGGCTGTTTTCTTTTTAATTCTGGAACTTGGTTTTCACTGCTTCTTTAATTTCCACCTCTCAAAGCAGAGCAGATAAAATCCTCACTGTCTTCAATTTCGAAGCAGACCAAGTATTGCATCTGGGTTTATTGAGGAAAAGCGAACTACATGTTGAGGATAATTCAGTTTTATTTTTCATTTGTTAATGATATTTTCATTATTTTTAAAATAACCAACTTTTATGTATCTTGTAAGATTCAGCAACTATTTTCTTATTGACACAGAGTAGCATAATGTCCAGATCACGATGTTTTTTTTTTAAATCTTCCTGATTCACTTAAAAACAAATAACCCCGTCAAATAGCAATGCACATGCAATGAGATTATACACTAATATCCATCAGCATTATTTAGTCTGCATTATTACTGTGATTGTGTAACTTCCCTCACTCATCAGTGATGTTGTGGACATTGCAGTGTCTCCAGTTCATGTCTTTACATCGTTTGATATCTTATTCCAGCCAGAGCAGCTCAGCCTCTATAAGCTGATCCAAACGCAGCAGTTAACCTGGTTAACAAACCCTCTGCAACGTCCTGACAATCTGTCTCTTAAAAAGTATAAAGTTCTATCATTTGTTTCGAAAGATATATCAGACAATTAGAGACTTCAATGAACTCACTTCTCTCCAATTATCCTCCTCTTGGCAGAGTTTTCATGCAGAGCAGTTTGCAGAAATGCATGCTTTAAAGGGACTTATTGCTTATTGGGACTTATCAGCTTCTAACATATTTCAGTGCTTTTTCAGTTACTTTTTGCAGACAAAACAATGGAGAAAAAAGTTGTTCTTCTTTTCTAAAATGTAACAATGTGTTTTAAATGTCAGAACCTTTAAAAGACTTAATTGCACAGACATTTTCTCTTAGTGTCCCAGCATGCCAATCAGGACACGCTGAACAGACGGACCAGGAAGTGCACTGGTCTGTGTTTGACTATGAATTTCAATGTAGTCCTGAGTGACGAGAAACACTCAGGAGTTCGGGAAAACTAAGAGATGTTGGATCAACAAAATGCTGTGCATGACCTATTATGCAGTTTTGCAAGCACACAAAAATAGACTGTGATTTTAAAGGATTGACTGTGAATTTCATGGCAAAACAGCTAGCTGGGGTTGCAGCTGCAGGAATCCCAGATGGTCGACCATCAACAGGTAGCAGGAGTTTTGTCAGGAAGCCTCGGTTAGAACCTGGGACCTGATTTGAACATTTCTACAAATAACTCCTTCCTTCCTTACTAAGAGTATAAATAGGAGAGTAATTTAGCACCCACTTTTAACCACAACTTACGAAAGTAAACTCAACAAACGAGCCAAGTTTCACACAACTATGTTTTAGTCACATCATGATTAAGTTTTTGACTGACATTTTGTGTAAATGGAGTGGACACTCAGTTAAAGATCTGAATTTTTGTTGTAGCGAGGTCACCACACAGCTCAGATGTTTTTGTTTGTATTCAATCTTTTTTTCTGCCCTTGCAAAACATCTGAATAGATCTCCTTAACCTCATCCTCCCCTCCCATCACTTCATATCCCCTTCCTCTGTTTATTTCTATATTCTCTATTCGTCTTTTCGTCATATTTTCATCACAGAAATTCGGCGTATTTCTGTGATGGAATGCGCTCCAGTTTCTTCCTCCTCTTTCCCATCTTTGCCTCTTAGCATGGGGACTTTGGGATTGCGGCAGAGCTGCGTTGCCATGGCAGCTGGCTATGTTTCCGAACCGTGTACACCTGGGATTTGGAGTCTCTCTCAGTAGTCTCCCTCTCTTCTATTTATTCCACCTTTCTTTCAGGTTTTCTCTGGTGTAGCTCAGGCTATCAGCACCCCACTCCCTCCCCCACTGTCTTCAGCTCCACGATGCGTTGGATTGAAGTTACATACGTGATGAGACACATATACTTGAAAAAAATAAAATAAAAAATCATGTCCATGCGAGCACCTGCACATGCCTCCTTCCCTGCCTACGTCCTGCCACTTCCTCATTTAATTTTCTCTGTGGCTGTCTCTTCTTCGTTTCCCTCTGCGCTCCCATGTGGGGTTCAAATATGGCATTGTGGGATACCACAGTCCCCTGAGTCCGCTGGCATACATCATTGTCTCTGGTTTACTTTGAAACGCAGCAGCACTTTTCACTCGCCTTGTGCTTCCAGATCTCATTACTTGATTTAAAGTGTAACAACATTGACTTTAAAACTAAACTAAACAGCTGGGATTTATGTCAGAACTGTAATCACATGTACATACATGCAATCACACAGGACCTGGCTGTGAGGAAAAAAAAAAAAAAGCCTTCTTTGACTTTTGGTATGTGGAAAAGGGGGGAATAATTGCATACTGGAAACTGTCATGGAGTTTCTTTGTTGCTGATGTTAAAAAAAGTAATATGTGCTCTTTTGTTTACCTTTGCAGGTTTTTCTTGAAGTTTTTCCTGAAATGCAACCAGAACTGCCTGAAGACAGCAGGCAACCCGAGGGATATGAGGAGATTCCAGGTACATAAAAGATGCTCACGTGTGTGAGTGTGCGCTTGTGTGTGGACATAAAAAAGTGGGAATACCGGAGGATGAAGGATATAGTCGCTGTGATAAAAGAGCATCTTTATACTCTTCTGTTATAAGACACTCTACTCTCCCATTCAGTCTATTTCTATGAAAACTGCAGTACTAAAACACTTTTAATTTAGGCTTCTCCTCTCCACAAAGTCTCCAGCTGGACAGCTGAATTGTATGATGGAGACAAACTAGACCCTTACATGTTTTCCGAGCAGAGCTTATGTGATCAAATAGAATGACCGGTTGCTTTTCTCAGATAGTTTGCTTCACCTTGGGCAGGTGTGAAAACTCGCCTTTTTTCTCTGTTTACCTCTGAATGACCTCTGGTGCTGCTCTTTTACTGTGGAAATGCAATCAAACTATCCAGTAAGCTAAAACCAACGAGGAGAAGAAACGCCCTCACTTTTAAATACACATTTGGTGTCTGTGGAACATCAGCAGCACGTTTCACATGGTGGTTTTTATTTTTTCTGTACATCTGTAGTTTTGCTGATGGTTAATTTCCTTGCCTGCTGCTTGTGACATTGCCCCGAATGGCCTGATGCTGTGACTGTGTGAGCTTGTCCAGTCTGCTTTCAATAAGTGCAGCGTGAAAGAGAACCGAGCCAAATGAAGTGAATCTTTCAGCATTTCCTGCCTAGTTGAACCTCGGATCACCAAAGTGTGAAAATGCCCTTAGTTTAGCCAGAATAAAAAATCTGTTTTTCTCAAAATATCGTCTTTTTTTCTAATATTCTAAACTCTTGTTTCACATTACTGTTTATATTAGCGGTTATCAACGTGGTCGGTACCGCCCCCCAGGGGGCGTTCAGAGTACGGCAGGGGGCGCTGGCGGACATTTTTACAACAGCGGGGCGCTGGG